AAAAAAAAAAAAAAAAAAAAAAAAAAAAGAAAACGAAAAATGAAAACAAAAAAAAAAAGAGGTTGAGGATTTGAAGGACAAATGGAAAGAGAAAGGAACGAAAAAACGAGGAAAACAAAAAAAGCAGAAATAGAAATTTCTGATTGTTATAAGTGCTCTTTCTTTTTTTTTTTTTTTTTTTTACCGATGTTTCATCGTTTTTTTTGCACAGATCGTTGTTTCTATTTTGCTGTTTGCTGTTATTGGATGATCACCTGTCTTAACACAGGCAGCCAAAGCAACTAACGACCAGAAAGAAACGACCTATTACTTCTACTTGATCCAAACCTCTACCGAGTATAGCAGAAGCAGAAGCAGCAGCAACTCATTTTTCACCAAAAAAATTCCCTTTCTTCTTTTGTAAAAATTACAATTATACTGATATAACTATCGATAAGCTTTTATTTACTTACTTTCTGCTTACTTTTTCTTTTCCCTTAATGAAGTCTAACTCAATATGACTGTTGGTAATGATGACATCAATGACGTGACAATACCACTTGTGATTCAGCAATATTTGCTGTGCAAACTAGAATTTATTCAGTTAACTGTCGTTTTCAATTTCTTCTCATAGTACCTCATTCTGCTCTGCCCGGCTGACAATTTCCATAACTCATTGGGGTTTTTTTTGAAAATGCAGACAAAACTTGATTAAATGGTACTTAAAGTACACTTGTCTTCTTTTTTGTTTCTTACACACATAACAGTGTTAAAAAAACGTGTTTCTGTTCTGGTATTTTACTGTTTTCACCTCTTGTCACTAGAACTTGACTAATTTATACTCGTCTTCTGTTTAATGTTCGATATATTTGCGATACAAAATGCTTATTTGTTTTATTTTTCATTTTTCTTCTGTTTTTTTTCTCTTAGTTTTTTCTGCGAGATGTATCAAATACTTCTCAACGTCAGTTACAGCTGTTATGCTTAAATTTAAACTGATTTTGTAGTCAATAAGCCTGGTTTAGCGAAAAATTGAAAGAGTTATATAGTGTTATTAAGCGATCACCAGTTTTAGTATCAATGCAAAAAACATTCACCAGGAAGTGAACATAAGTGGATTACACTACCTTTTTCCTTTTTTGGAGAGATGGAAATACAGATTAAAATTTTGTAGTTTAAGTGTTTCTTTAGTTAGCGTATGATTTGCACAATGAACTTTGGTTTCTTGCATAGCTCGACGCTTCGAAATATTCTTGCAGTGTAGTAAAAAAAGAAGGAAAAAAGACAATTGAAAGCGTAAGTTGATTTACCATGTTGAACAGCGAGCATCAGAAAGATAAACTTCTGAACTATTTAAAAGATCTGTTGAGACGATCAAAAACTTGGACGAAATGTCTTTCTTTTAGCTTTCATTAACTATTGATCTGAAATTACAGTTATTATTATACATCATTACTTTTTTAGAAAATCA